ATTAAGGTAAACGCATGCATAATGGCCTACGGATTTTTCAGATGAAGATTATGTATTTTTACTGTAACCCTTGAAGTTTGCTCCTGATCGCTACTGCTTGTGGTTTTTTAGATGCTGGTGGTGCAGCAGATAAAATCAATTTAATACCTCAAGACATCTTTGCAGAGCTGGTAAGTAGGGCGATAAGGATGTGGAAGGGCTTCTGGCACCCTGGTTCTAGGAAGCTATATTGTTTAAGCTTTCCTGGTTTTTGTGTATTGCAAAGGGAATCCTGTGTGTATGTGGCAGCTTGACTTACGTGACTCATAAAATGGACCAGTCCTGCTAAGAGCAGTGGTATTGCCTGAAATTTACGTTTTTATCACAGATTTTTAAGAATCTATTTTTGCCTGTCATCTATCTAGGTGATGTACCAAGGTAGCTTTCCTAAAAAATACTTAGCTTGTTTAGTGTAGTGTACGCTTGAACAAGATGACTGTTCAATTAATGTGAAAATGGTGTGTTAAGTAGGAATAGACAGATAGAAATTACAAATTCTTGGTTGACTTTCTTTTCTCGGATTTGATGTAATTTTAAAATCAGTCACTTGAGTTACTTTATTCTTGACTCTTTATTAAAGCATCCTCCTCTTGTCTATATTTGTAGCAATTAGTTTTCTTTTTTGTTTTGTAATCTCCCAAGTATTTGAACTAGCTCTGTCTTGTGAACTGAAATATGCATTAAGAATGTCTTCAATAATACTTTCTTCACAGTGTGAACAAATAATTCATCATCTGAACCATAAGATCCCAGGTGTAAATACAGCTGAATTGTGTCAGGTAAGTTGGGATACTGGCACTTGTAAGCAAGTATAGTAGTTGTATATGCTGTTAAGGATAGAACCCCTGAGTCAGTGTGGGGGTTTTTGTGTGGGTATACAAAGAGGCTTTTATTAATGCATAATTTATTGTTTGTAATTGTTTGAACATTTTGTTTTTAGAGAATTCAGACATCAGGGATTGAAATTAACATTGATGACCTGGCAAAAATAGCTAACATTCTTTCATTTCTATTTAGGTAAGCACAAAATAATATACTTTTCACTATGTTTTCCCCCTCCCCTCAGCTTTATAGTGGCATTAAAAAGTTTCATCAAATGCAGGTATAAAATGAACTGATTTGGGAAAAGGGCAAAAGTTTGTAGGTCTCAGTACACAAAAAAGAACTCCTGAGCTTAGTTTGTGTCCTTAAAATCATTTAGTTACTTAATACATAGTATCACTTTTTGTAATAAAAAGACAAAGAGAGGAAATTGTCCAAGATCCTGTCTGCAAGCTCTAGAACTAGTGGCAAAATAGAGGAAGTTAAAGTCACTTTTATAGCTAAGTCAGCTGGACCTTTGTCAGGGAGGAGTGTGTTTTTAAAAGTTCTTGTTTCTTGGAGATTAGAAACCAGCATTTGTACCTGTTTGAAGGAAACACAGCTTATAATATTACACTCTGCCATGAATAGAGTTTTTAGGGAGTATTTTCAGTTGTTGTTTTACTCTTAAGTTTTCCAGGTTTCAGACAGATAAAATTTTCAAGATGTTGCTTGTTCTTTTAATATACAGCATCAAAACGGTTTATGTAACATTAATACATCTGAAGAAAATAACAGCTGTAGAAATTTAAAATACTATTTCTCTAACTATAAAACAGAAGGCCTTAAATTATATTAGACCGTGCTACTTGGAGGGCCAACTCACTTTGTCTTGTATTAATGAGTCTTTTAAGAAGAGTGGACCTGCATGAACAAACATAGGCTAGGATTTATTTTTTACATATTTCTCTAGAGGAAATCAAGTGGCAATTTGTTCTAGACTTGCTGCCTTTTCAGTTGAGGGCTAATGGCATCATTTGACTCCTATTGGTACCAATTATACCTAAAAGTCCTTACTTGCCATTTGGTGATGCTTAAATTACATTTGCTGAATGTTTAATTAAATTATCTTGTTTCTAAAGTAAGGATATTTTTTAACTGCTCCACACACACATCTCTCACTGAATTATGCCTTCCTTCAGTTGCTACAGCACTTGGAGGCTGTGATTATTTTTGTTTCAATGTTGGATGTTGTGCAAGCCCAGCAAAGCTGATCTCTGCATGCTAAGACATACTAAAGTCATGTTTTTTGCATGTGGATACAAAAGATGAGTAACATTCTGGGAAAAAAAAAACCCAGGCTGCCGGAGTATTTTAAAAGACATGTAAAGCAGAAATGAAAAAATTGCTATTTGGGGTGAAGTGAGAAATTTTATTAAATTTTTTGGAATGAAATTGATGCAATGTTCCCTGGGTATACTTACAGCACAGCAGCCAGAAACAATCTCTCTACAGAAGAACTTGTCACCACCTTGGGCAGTGCAGTCAGCACACTGCCAAAACATGCACTTCAAGTTATCCGTCATGTGTGGAATGAGCAGGGCAAATCCATCACTGCATCAGAAGATGCAAGAAATGTGGCCACCGTGGGGCAGGTAACTAAATGTGACCAAGTGCAGTTGAGTCAACTGTGAACATTTCAGAAGTGTCAGTGCCACAACGTTGTGTATGTTGTGTTGTTGGCACGCGGTGGTATCTTGGCTGCGAAAAGCTTTCCTACCTCTTGTGTGTAAGTACGTGTTGCCAAATATCTGTCCAGGTAAAGCAGCACGTGCAGTAAATGTTGTCTACATGCTGAACAGTTTCATACCTTTTCAAACGTTAATGCTTTGTAGTACTTTTAGCGAAGGTGAGTGGTAGTCAGTCTGGCAGACAATTGTATCAGCTGTTCATGTAAATCTGTTTTAAATGTAATTTAAATTCTTTAAAGCTGATAACACCAGCACTTGGTTGTTTGCTCTTTGTCTCCCTTACATTTAAACATTATTTTTAAAGATACTTTCTGTCAATTTCCAGCATACTTTCTTTACTTGAAAAAATAGCAGTGTATTTGCATTTTATGATCTATTTTTTATAACAACAGCTTAAAAGACTATAGAATTAGGAAAAAAAGAAAATATTTGCCTGTGGTTTATTAGTAAGCTTGTAAAGGCTCTTCAGAAAAGGCAAAAAATGTGATTTATCTAAAATATCGTTATAAAACGCCATAATTTTTCTCTATTATTGCTATTATAAATTCTTTGGTTTAGACTTAGAAACTTTGGTTTTGATTCAGAAACTTCTAAAAAAAAAAAGAAAACATGATGAAAGCATTCATGATGTACAAGCCATGTGAACTTGTGTGTCTGAAGCTCCTCTTACTAGAATTTTAAGTACAATGTACTTGACTATTGAGTGTACTTGGATAAGGAAAACTGAGTAAGTAAAATAACTTATTAAATTGCTTTTTTTTTTACCATTAAAAGGAAGATGATTTTTTATTCACAGTAATATCCAAACGTGTATGCTTGCTTTCCACTTGGATAAGAGCTCTAGACATCCTGTACTGTCTATGAAACACCCCTCCAACTGAATAGCAATGGCACTGTTTCCAATGGTCTTCGTCTTTGCAGTTTGTAGATATGAAATGGAAACTGGGAGTTGCGATGAGCTCTGACACCTGCCGGTCCCTGAAGTATCCATATGTTACAGTGACGCTGACGGTGGCAGACCCTTCAGGACACATAACAGACAAGTCTTTTGAAATGACGATCCCACAGTTCAAGGTCTGTAGTGAGTGTTACTTGGCTCAGTCTCATAAAAACAGTGCTGTTGTTGTGAAGGAGCAGCTGTGTATACCTTAACCCATACTTTTGTGTTGCTTGTTTACCAATACAGTCATGAGAAGATGAAGCATTAAATAACTGTTTAAAACACAGAAGCTAAATACTTACTTCACAGTATTTAGTTCTACATGGCTTATCGGAAAATGTTATTTTAGCAGTACAGCAGTCTGTTCTCAGACAAACTAACAACTGAAGACATAAAGTCTTTCAGATCACGTCAGCTATCATTCTGCCTTATTAAAAATTTACAGAACATTCCTAATTTATGGAACTGTTCCCCAGCCTCAAAATTTTAAATTTGGCTTTAGCCTAACATTTGCTAATGATTAGGAATGGCGATCAGTCTGCTTTGTCACCCCTGACTCTTAATTGCTATGTTTTCATCTGTGAATTTATGCAACTTTAGTTTTGCATAAATGCAGCACTTGTGTTGTCATTCCTGTTTAAAGGGATAACATATCACCTAGAATATCATATAAGCTTAAAATAAATAGATTCTTGGATTGGAAGAAATTTGAGAAGAATATTCTGAATCCTTTGGTGTTGTGAAATTTATTCATTCTGATTGAAGACTATTTAACATTTGCTGTTCAGCTACTATAGGAAATGAGTGCTACATTTGAGAAGTCTGAATTAATTCAGATGGGGATAGAAACATTAGGGTGAAAAGGGAGTTTTTTATTTTATTTTTTCATGGTGTGACAGCTGCTTTGTATTTTTCCTTCCTAGCATCTTTCCCTATTAATAGACAAGCCCATGCAAATAAGGCATCACCTTTGTAGAGTTAGTAGTTAATGTGCCCAAATGTCAACTAGCCCACAAAAAGAAAAGCAGAAACTTGCAGTTCAAGCTGCACTTTGTAACTGGAGGAAAAAAGGAATGTGAGAAGTATGGATAGTGTTTTTTGTCTAACATGCTAGTTTGAACTGTTCAAACTTTTCTTGTCTAACATGCTAGTTTGAACTGTTCAAACTTTTCTTCAAGCAACTGAAATTTATCTTAATTTTTACTTTTTAGAACTTCTCCAGACAGTTCAAGGAAATGGCATCTGTTCTTGAAACAGTTTGAAGAGAACTTTAATTTACAGTGACATTTTGGACAAAGTTAGATCAAGGAAACTTTCCGTTCTGCACAGGGAATAAAGTGCTATTGTTCAGCAAGGTATGTATCCTTGTCTCTTTGACAAGAATTTCTCAGCATCATCCTTGCATTGCTGCAAAGATTTCTTCGCTTTGAAGCCAACTCTGCAGTGTTTGTGAAAACATGTTCAGCTTTGTTCATCGTGGTTGACAAAATACTGGGATGTGTATGGAGAAGCATCCCGGTAGACTTCCTAAAACCCATACTGAACTCTAGTGCAGAAAGACACCTGAAAATGTTAACTGGAAAGATACAAAGAGAAGTGGAAATCTCATAACACTTTTGTCTGTAAAACTGAGATGCACTTGGACTCCACAGTGATATTACATATAAGGAGAATAAGAAGTTACATGTAACAAGCATACAGTTATTCTTGAAGAATAGCATTGTCGAGTACTTTGGTGCAGGTATTTGCAGACCTGGTTTCCAGTCTTTTAATAACTGGAGAATGAACTTGCCTTAATGGCTTGTTAATTTCAAATACTTGTTTCTCACCACCTAAGCTTCTAAAAACTGTGTTAATGCATTAAGTTTTTCCAGAAACCCAAAATTTACCCTCTGAATTGAAGCCCAGAGTCTAATTTTACATAAAGGTAGAAAGGCAAATTTAATTCAAGAGCATTTTAATATATTTTTGCTTTTTCATTTCATCCAGTATTAATCCGTTGCATTCTCCTTAATGTTTTGGTCAGCAGTCTGCTTTCTAATTAAATTAGGATATTGATGTAGTTGCCCCAGTCCAAGCTCTGAACTAGAAAAGTGAAGAGGAAACTTGAAAATTCAGGCTGGAGTGTTGGGCCAAGTCCATCAGAGAAAGGACCACACTAAAAGATTTCTTTGCTTGTTGCACATCCACTAGACTGTGTTCTGCACACTTGCTCTCAGAGAATGTCCTAACCAGCAAGAGTTTGGACTTTGGTGCTGAAGAATGGGGACATTTCCAAAGAGGAGTGATAAATCCAGTGTGATTGCATGCTGTTTTTTTAAATTTTTTTTCATTGACTTTTCTGTAAAAGAAAATACACACTGCATGTACTGTGAGATGCAGTAAAAGCAATACTGTTGCATTTCAAGACGTGCTGGTGGTGTAGTATAACAAGTAAATCTGAAGAGAGATAAGTCATACTTATAAGCAGACTCAAGTTTATGCTTCAAATTCAGAATGGTAGAGACTGAGAACCAGTTTTGCTTGGACAGATCATCAAGTGATTTCAGGCCCCCCTAAAAGTGAGAACATCTACCTTTCTAAAAATTCACTTAATGTTTTTTTTCCCACTAACTTTTCTTAAAAGCCGGCTGAAAATCATTGCTATTGATTATGCCTGCCTTTTTGTGCTATAAAAACAAACAGCACATTGTGCAGCATGCAGCAATCCTTTCAGGAAAGAAAGGATTTTCACCCTTGCGATTTGGGTACTATGCATGGTGCATAAGAACAGTACTTGGAGTTGCTTAGAAGCCCAAATAAGTGGAACAGTGTTGGCTTTAACAAAAGTTTTCAGCTATGGCCATTGATCTGGATGATGCTTTCTTTGTGCTGCTTGAAGTCTGAGGTGTTTGCTTTGTGGCTGGGGAGAGCAGGTTGGTCTTCTCTGGGACCGACCCTCTGAATAGAATGTCACAAAGTGGTCTTGGAACACTTACTGTTTGCTCTTCCCTTGTTTGTCTTCAAGGGCTCAAGGCTGAACCCAGTGCAAACAAATCTTGTCTGTGTATGGAAAAACGATGTTAGCAGCTGATTTTTTTTTTTTTTTGTTAGCTTTTAATTTGCAAAAGTTGGAGTGTAAGGCTGCTATAACTGGAAAACATTGGCTTTGGCCTAGTGAATTAATTGTTTTACATTAGTGCAAGCGTTCAAAAAACAGAATAAGTTGGGTTTTTTTTTTTAGTAAAACTGGAGCCTTACAAATACTTCCCATGTGCACATAAATTCTTCATATAGCTGGAAATACCTGTGCCTTCATTGGAACTGGATGGAAAAGATTTTATTCATCATGTCTCACCGATTCAGTAGATGCTGGAAGGTAACGAGGGAACTTCCAGTTAGCATTTTTTGCTTGCTCCATCAGGAAGAGGAGAAAGTTGCCAGCCTTTGTAAAGTGTAACTTACGTTCTGTCAAGTCGGATATTCTAGAATTTTTATTAATATTTTTTAAAATGTCCCTGAACTCCATCCAGCATGTTGTAATTCTGGCTGGAAGACGCTTGGACATGTGTGCTATACCAGTTTACTGTCTGAGAATTTTCAGAGGAGTTATGAAGTTGGCTCGGTACTCAAACTTCTGAGATATGTCCTGATTTATCTGTGGGAACTCCTGTACTGAGTAATGGAAGAATTAAGTACTTTATTAAAAGAAACCACACTAAAAACCTATCAGTTTGCAGGATAGCAAACATGTTCAAACAAAGCATTAACATGTTCAAACAAGCTGACAAGCTGTTGAATTGTTTGTCTATTTTATGTGCAGAAACCAGATCTTTTAAAAGAGAATCAGGAGTCCTCTTGTGTTCCTAATTCTAATTGTTGATTAATACAAAATTGTATAACATGAATATTTTTGTAAATCCACAAACAGTCATTAAACATGTAGGTAACAAAGGTAAAGCTGGTCTGTATTTTGTTTTAAGCCTACTGGATGCAAGTCTGT